ACTCTTACTTAAATCCAAGTAATGGATTTAGGTATAAGCTTCCGCTCTTAATGTTTATTCTCTATGATTTAATCACTATTAAGACCAACATGAAAATCTTTTCATTCAGACATAAAACAGGAGTGACCTATGTAGTTTGGTAATTACAACCAATGTTTTAAAAAATCCAATTTATAACCCATTACAACCTATTTTGCAACTTAATGGTGCCCTCTTATTAGATAACACACACATTTAATGCTAAAACTATCTAACTCAAAAAAAAAAAAAACGTTATATTGCGTTAAATGTGCTTTGCATTACATAAGCAGTTAACATGGAATTTTAAGGTTAAATTGCACCTCTAATTAGGACGCATAGATGCATCTTCACTGTCCAAATTATTTAAACCCTACTCCTTTTAGTCCAAATTACCATATTTTCTTCCTGCGAATATACGATCTCTTCACCTCTTTCAACCTAAACCATAGCTCTTACCTCCTTTAAACTCCTCTGGCTATCGACGGCTTCAGCAACTCCGGTGAGGTATATTTTTTATTTTCAACTATATATTGGGCATTTTAATTTATATCTTTTAAATAAATAGTGATTTTAAAATTACTTTCTAAATTCTAATATTTTATATTGCTAATTTACTCTAAATCATATCAAACGTATTGCTCCATTACTTTATCTTTCAACATAATTTTTTAAAGATCTATCATGAATTAAACTATACTGATTAATTAGTGAGTTAATTGTATTGGTGAGATAATGAATTTCAGTTATTACTTGATTTTGATTAGGTTTTAGTTTTTAATTTTCAGTTAATACCAGAGTCCGTGAAATTAAGTTTGCATGCAATCTCTAGATATGCAAAATTTTATACTGTTGTTATGTAATCATGTTTAGCTTCATTGATGTAGTGAAATTGATTAGCTATTAGAATATTTTTTTGAAGTTAAGAACTCAAGAGTTGGAAGTGTTTGGTATATTTTAGACTTGTTTCTATTGCCTTAAACTTGACGACGTTAACATATTTGATTATTTGATGATACTTTTTGCAATGGTTGTTAGTCATATATGACTAAATTTTGTTAAAAAAATTCTAATACTATATTTTTATATTTGATAATGGTGATGTTATATTTGAAAAGTTTGATGATTCTAAGTATTAAAGTTATCATCAATAGCTAGTATTTATAAAATATCTAAATAAATAATAAACAATATAACCTATGTTATGCATTATGTTTTTCTGCTGTTTTTTCATTAACCGTTAACAGGAGGTCAAGCATTAGATAACCCTTTTTTGTTATTTTCAACATTGATTACAACTACTCCATTTATGGTGTAGATCATTGATCACCCCACTCCTACAGAGATGGTTCTGATAAGCTCCGTACCATCATCGACTAAGGGTTCTATTAGAACACCCAATTGAAACAATTGAAAGGAGTGGGTAACTACACCATAAAAATGTTGTGCGCGGCGGAAGCGGGATAACCAAACGGGCGTGCTTCGAGAACCAAATCAAACAAACGTCGAGATAAAGGTCAATACAACCAAAATAACGGCACAAATCCAAACACAATAGTTTAACGTGGTTCGACAATTGCCTACATCCACGGGGCAAGAAGGGGATTGAGTTTTCACTAATAGAGAAGAAGAGTACAAACTGAGATTATAAAATGCTCAAACCAATCAACTAATCTCACCAACAAATCTCTTAATCTCTCCAAATAAACCCTCAAACAATAGCTCAGAAAACTCTCCTTTTTCTGTGCTCCAATATCCCCAAACCAATCTCCAATCAAAGCCAAGGAAACCCTAAAAAACGTGTCTCTATTTATAGCAAAACACAATCCCAAAACAGATTAGGATTCTAAAAACGAGTCTGCCACATCCTGATGTGGCACACACCACACTCATGGCAAACAGGATAGATTCTGCCACACCAGGGTGTGGCAGACATCACACCCATGGCAGACATGGCAGATTCTGCCACACCCATGGCAGACACCATACCAGGGTGTGGTGGAGCATGTTTTGCTTATTCTTCACTTTTTTCTCAATTCCTTCCTCAATTTCTTCGCCGTTTTCACAATTTTGACATCAACCAAACAAAATGCCTCACTTGTTGCTTCTCAATCCTCAACAAGTCGAGACCCAAACGGGAGTGTGAACACTTACCCAAACGTCGGTATCTACTCACTAAATCGGCAGTATCAAAACTGACTGTCTACGTATCCTCTTGCCCAAGGAATCAAGCCTTCACGTAGTTCACCCAAACGGTCTCCAAAGGCCCTCAAACAAATAGAAGAGCACGCAACCCTCCTCCATCATCACCAAATCTGTGACTGATAGCACCTCCAATGACCTCAAACTAAAACAATCCAAACACCTCCACCTGAGGTGAACCAATGGCCATGTTCAAACTGCGCCTATTAGCTGCACTCAAATCAATCAACACGTCATATGCATCCAAAACCAAATGATCTTCACGCTGTGTCACCTCAGCTGAAGTCCCAAATAATACAGAATGACCTGGAGTATGTGGAGTAAATTCCACCCAATGTGGAGTAGCATCACCCTCCACCCGCTGTGATATCCAACTGATCTGATCAACACTCTCTACCTACCGAGAGTCCAATGTGACATACCTGCTCAGAACAAAATCAGAAGTTCCCAAACGATAATCAAACAAGCCTCCGAATCCCAAACGTGTAATCAGATCAAATCTCACATCCTCGATGTGACCAAATGCTGGGTAACTAAATATCCGACGCCAACCAAAATCTGAAGCAGCTCCACCAGATCTAATAACTCCTAATGCAGCAGTCAGCGACCTATGCATAAGATGACCCAAATATGTCGAAGCCCGAACTCCAAAACCAATGCTCGACATCAAACGTCGATCCTCCTCTAGAAAGAAATGACCAATCAAAAATATCATCTCATCTCGTCGCCCCAACGTTTCCTCTCCAATGAAGTTTCTCAAACTACCATGAGCTCGGCACAAAAATAGTAGGTCCCTCTTGTACCTCCCTCTAAAACCAGAATGAAGTACCTTCACCTTACTGCCAATACACTTCTTCAACTGTTGTTGACTACTAGGACTTCAAAACCAACGGGATTTGGTTGCAACCCACTTGACTACTAGGACTTCAAAACCAACGGGATTTGGTTGCAACCCACAAATGCCTAGTACAATCCCTAACAAAGGAAACCAAAATACCAATTACCTTCCAATGATGCCTCCTTAGAAGGCCCCCAAATGCCTGAATGAATACCAAATAGAAGACCCCTCAATTATCGAATAGAAGTGCCAAACTCCACCTAGGTCTCCTTGCTCATACCAACGTGCTCAAAGGACTTCAATATGCAGGTTAATGGCACTTCTTAATAATCCAATGCACCGTATCAACAATCAAATAACCCAGTCTTAAATTCGTCTATCTCGGCCAACTATCTTAAAGCACCAACAAATGAAGAATAGATCCAAACTGATAAAGGAGAGAATTTTACCTCTAATTGAAACCCTAACAAGAGTCTCCAAACGATCTCAGCCCGCACGACGGAAACATGATCCACAAATAGAAAAAATCCCACCTTTATCACCAAACGAAGCCCTCGAAGAGCCTCCAAAGCGATCTACTCCTCCAAATAGCCCAAGCGCCAACAAACCAATGCGGAACAAACGAAGAATAGATCCAAAACTGAGAAAAGAAAGAAACTTTACCAAAAAGATCCCACCTTTCTCACCAACTGAAACCCTAGACGAGCTTCCCAAATCGATCTACTCCTCCAACCAAGACAAAACCCTAGATCTGAAATCCGGAGCTCTGATACCAATTGCTGTGCGCGGCGGAAGCAGGATAACCAAACGGGCGTGCTTCGAGAACCAAATCAAACAAACGTCGAGATAAAGGCCAAAACAACCAAAATAACGGCACAAATCCAAACACAATAGTTTAACGTGGTTCGGCAATTGCCTACATCCACGGGGCAAGAAGGGGATTGAGTTTTCACTAATAGAGAAGAAGAGTACAAACTGAGATTACAAAATGCTCAAACCAATCAACTAATCTCACCAACAAATCTCTTAATCTCTCCAAATAAACCCTCAAACAATAGCTTAGAAAACTCTCCTTTTTCTATGCTCCAATATCCCCAAACCAATCTTCAATCAAAGCCAAGGAAACCCTAAAAAACGTGTCTCTATTTATAGCAAAACACAATCCCAAACAGATTAGGATTCTAAAAACGAGTCTGTCACACCCTGGTGTGACACACACCACACCCATGACAAACATGATAGATTCTGCCACACCAGGGTGTGGCAGACACCACACCTATGGCAGACAGGGCAGATTCTGCCACACCCATGGCAGACACCACACCAGGGTGTGGTGGAGCCTGTTTTGCTTATTCTTCACGTTTTTCTCAATTCCTTCCTCAATTTCTTCGCCGTTTTCAAAAAAAAGAATAGTTTTAATTAAAAAACTTTCAAACTCAAGGATCGATATAATCATTATAGGCATTAGCCTCAGTCATATTGTTTCAAGATGCAACAACCTACTATTTCCCCCCTGTTTTTAAAGCACAAATTACAGTAACTGCTGGAAAATAAGTACATACTAAAGGTAGAGCGATAAAGCAGAGGCTTGAGATTTTACTTAAAACTTTCTTTTCTTAACATCTAAATGATTACCATGCTTTATATAGATCGTCGTTGGTAATTTTGCATTACAACCCTTCACTAAACACACATCCCTCTACAAACACCACTCTTTAAACATAAGCTTTCACCAACACGTATGAACCTTCACATAATAAACCAATAACCAATAGACAACCCTTCACATAATTATAAATCAAGTTTAATCATTTTTATAGTAACAATAACAATGTACAGCTTCGTTTGTCAACAATGCAACAAGTATGAACAGTGACCAGATGATCCAATAAGAAAACTCAGGGATGCATTACTTAAATTAGCATTATAATCTCGCCAATATTTCAAACTGTAAGACCAGAGCAAGGGAAAACCTGTAGAATGTGGAGACATAAGACGTGACGTTCTAGATATTCTAGACTGTATATTTCTATGATCTTGAAAGCTTCTGGTTATACATAAATCAACCTAGCTAAGTTATCGTTAGGATTTGTACAAGTACGAGTTAACCATATGATGAGTAATACACAATGAAAATGGAGATCAAACTGTCGGTACTGGTAAAGACTTTGCCAATGAAGACATCAGTATTGATGAAGATGGAGATTGGAAATCAGAAGAAAGCAAAGGAGTAGATTCTGAGGCTGGAGGGATGTTGATTGTTGTCCTGGCATCTCGTTTGCACACAGGGCAAAATGTTCTCCATGATGTGAGCCAGGAATCAACACAAATTGCATGGAACACTGAAAAAAAAAATTAAAGCACTGTGTCAATACAAAGTAGTAAATGGTTGAATAAATGAAAAGATTATAGAATATAAGTTCGTGGTATAGCTGTAGCAACACTTAAAGATCATAATTAAATAGTGGTATATCATATCCAAGAATTATGATAAGTGTATGATTCTAATAACTCAAGGTTCATCAAATAAATAGTCCAAACAATATACTCTTACTTATTATTGGTCCGGGCCAATCATTTAATTTTTCAATTGAATCAAATAAATGGTGATAGTCAATCCGCGATTTCTCTTGATTTGTAATTCAATATGCAAAATCAGTTGGTTCCGTCAGGTTAGCTATATGTTGTGTTACGTCAACTATTTCCACAGAAAGTGGTAAGATGATATCTTAAGCCCAAACCGTGAAGATCACTATTGTTCATTCTTGTAGGGTCCCGAAAATGATTCGAAAATGATTGTTTCCCTTAACTGTTTTAGCTTTGAGAAAAGACTTTATCGCCTGGTAAGAATCTGTTTACAATTGCTCTTTCTCAAGTACATAAGAGGAGAAGGTTGGTTCGACTTCTCTTTTGTTTAACGTGGGTTCTGGGTGGCGAAAGAATGTCTCACTCGATGCTTGAGTCGAGTTTGCTTCCCATTGACGATCGGAACAAAATCCCTTCAATTCGAGGAGAGGATTAGCCTCTGTTGATGGCTTTAGATCATAAGAACCGAGGTTCAGATCTCAAAGGAGTGCCTCAGAATGTGAGTGCTTGCTCTCTGTTCTCTCCAAGTTAGTTTTCTTCATAGCTGCTTGTGGCTATTTATAGGGCTCTAGCGCGTAACCGACGTGCTGATCGTGGGATCGAGAGTGTAACCGCCTCTTGGAATTTAGCCCACGTGGGCTGACTGAGTCTTCAAGACCGTTGTAGTCGAGCTTCATTCGGTGAGACGAGCCTCGCAGCGTGGCGAGGTTCGTTAGATGAGATGAGCCTCAATGAGCAGCGAAGTTCGTCTAACAAAGCGAGCTTCGCTATACGGTGAGCTTTGTCTTTGATGGTCGAGTCTAGCTGCGTAGCAAGCCTCGTGGACTTCTTCTGATGAACTTCGTCTTCTACAAAAGCTTTGTCTTCATTGATGAGCTTCATTTCTTGAAGGAGATTCGTCTCCTGAAGGATAAGGCATTGAGAGCCTCATCTCTAGGCGAACTTCATCTTCAATGGCGATCTTCATTTCTGGGTGAGCTTTTTCTTTAATGACGAATTTCGTTTCTGAAGGAGCTTCGTCTTCAATGACGAGCTTCATTTCTAGGCGAGCTTCATCTTCAATGGCGAGCCTCGTTTCTGGGAAAGCTTCATCTTCAATGACGAGCCTCGTTTCTGGGCGAACTTCGTCTTTAATAATGATGAAGTTCGTCTTCTGAGGGGTGAGGTGCTGCTTGGTGAGGTTCGTCTATGGATGAACTTTGCCTCTTGAAAGGGCTTTATTTCCTAGAGGAGTTGTTTTGTCCCCAGTGACGAGCTTCAAACCTCGTCTTCAATGATGAGCTTCATCTTCTAAAGGACCTTTGTCCTCAGTGACGACCTTTGAACCTTGAACCGTGTCTCCAATGACGAGCCTCTTCTTCAATGACGAGCTTCGTCTTCTAGAGGAGCTTTGTCCTCAGTGATGACCTTCGAACCTTATCTCCAATGATGAGATTCATCACTATCTTGTTTCTTGGCATTTTTAGTGCCTACAAGATTCCCTTCAAAGTTTTCAGACCCAAATTGGGTTGCATGGGTCTGGAATACTTTGAACCCTCTTGGCTATGACGAGTTTGGTTTGCATGACGAGCTTGGCCTCTTAGTGAGCTTCGATGCTCCAGGGTGAACTTCGTGGTTCCAGGCGAAGTTTGTCATTTCTAGGCGAGCCCCGACACTTCGAGATGAAGTTCGGCTATTTGTTCAGTCTCTTCAATTTTTTTTTTTGCGATCAATAACCATGACTTGGGATTTTTAGCAAACCCCCAGCTATCAATGGACTTGATGTGTCTTTATCAACTATCGTTTGAGTTGGACTAGCCAATCTTTCCCTTAGCATGATAAGTTGTCGAAAAGTTTCTCTTAGTCTTAATGCTAAGATTTCTCCTTTATCCTTAGCTATTCAAGGCGTTGGGTTAAGCATTGAGCATGACTATAACAGTCAAATCATAGTCAAGTTTGGTTGTGCTGTTTAGCGTAACAGCTTAACCTGAAAATTTGAAAGCGAGGCTCATCGCATGGTAGGCCTGCTATTTCAAAAAGTGATCATTTGCAGGAATGATCGGAGGTGTATGATAATATCTTTAATATAATAACGATCTCATATTTGAGTAGTGACTCATCGCTTGGTAGGTTACTATTTGAGAATAAGAGGGTAGATAGGGGCACATCACCTAGTAGGTCACTATCTTATATAAAGTCATTTGCAGGAATGACGCTATGGAAATAATCAAGTCGTTCAGTGATATGAGAGTATAATGACTGTGAATAGAATAGGGGCGTATCACTTTGTAGGCCACTATCTTAGATAACATCATTTGCAGGAATGATGGTGTGGAAATAATCAAGTCGTTCACTGACATGGAAGTATAATGACTATGATTAAAATAGAGGCACATCACATGGTAGGCCACTATCTTGAACAACGTCACTTGCAGGAATGACAGTGTGAAAATAATCAAGTTGTTTAGTGACATAAGAGTATAATGACTGTGATTGGAATAGAGGCACATCATATGTTAGGCCACTATCTTGAACAACGTCACTTGCAGGAATAACAGTTGTGGAAATAATCAAGTCGTTTAGTGACATGGGAGTATAACGACTGTGATTGGAATAAAGGCACATCACATAGTAGACCACTATCTTGGACAACGACACTTGCATGAATAACGGTTGTGAAAATAATCAAGTCGTTTAGTGACATGGGAGTATAATGACTGTGATTGGAATAGAGGTACATCACATAGTAGGCCATTATCTTCGATCGCTGTAAGGAGATAGAACATTAAGATCATATAGTGAATCATCGTATGGTAGATCACTATTATGATTGGGTGACTAGTAGGGGCTCATAGTATGGTAGGCCACTAATTGTCAGAGTTATTTTCAATGGAGGTTGAAGAGTTGACTATCAGAGGTAATTGTTAACATGATAGTTTGTTATGGACCCACCATCCTGTTGAAGAGGATTAGTGGGAGAATCCAGTGAGAGATTGAACTATTAGATGTAATCATTAACGTGATAGTTTTGTGTGAACCTACCATCCTGTTGAAGAGGATTGGTGGGAGAATTTGGAGGAGATTTAACTATCAGAGGTAATCATTAACGTGATAGTTTTTTGTGGACTCGCCATCCTGTTGAAGAGGATTGGTGGGTGAGTTTGAAGGAAGATAAGGAATGAAATTTTTATCTTGGTTAACCTCGTGGGGGTCGAAATAGCATTTTTTGGTCTTAACAACGCTGAGGACCACATTCCTCGATGTTGTTAAGGTCAAGTATCGTTACTGTATCCATGATGTTTGAACCTGCAGCATTGTTGAGATATGAAATGATCTCTTTTTCTTTCGCATGGGCATAGTAGTATTCGTTAATCGTGAAGACCTTTGCGGGGAAGCAGCCGAAGTATAAGAAGTCTATGGGTAGTATTTCTTTAGAAATTTACCGTTGATAGGCATCATGATCTTATTGCCATCTTGATTGATTAGGCGATATGCTCCATTTGAGTAGACTGTTTCTACTATAAATGGTCTTTACCATTTCGGTTCGAACTTGCATTTCTTTTTGGAGTTCAAAATCATTGCGCATCGAACAACGAGAACCAGGTCACCTTCCTTGAAAATGCAGTGTTTGACTTTCTTGTCAAACACTTTGGAGATTTGAGCGTGGTAAAGCTCGATATACTATTGAGCTTGTAATCGCTTTTCATCTAGTGCTTCAAGTTCTTCAAGGCGTCGGCGATGACTTTCTTCAGTTGTCATACCGGTTGCAAGCGTTATCCGAAGGGATAGAATTTGAACTTCCAATGGCATGATAGTTTCACATCCGTATACTAAGGAGTATGGCATAGCATCTGTTGGTGTATGAACCGTCGTGCGATACGCCCATAAGCTTTGACCCAACTTCTCATTCCAGTCTTGTTTGCTTGTGGAGACCAACTTGGTGAGAATCTTGATGATGGTCTTATTAACAGCTTCTGCCTGTCCATTCATAGTAGGGTTATAAGTTATTGATACCAAGTTTGTGATTCTAACTTGACACCATACCTGTATATGATGTGATGTTTGATGAATTTGACCACATCACTTGTTTTGACTTCTCTCAACAAGATTGCTTCAGCCCATTTGAAAAAGTATTCAGTTATCGCTAGGATGAAGCGATGTCCTTTCGCAGAAGGTAGGGAAATTAGGCCAATAATGTCCATATCTCATGTTTCAAATGGCCATGAAATGGCTGAGGGATGCAGATGCTTCAACGGTTGATGCATGTAGTTAGCATGTATTTGGCAGGTGTGACATCGTTTGGCATAGGTAACGGCATCGCTGATCATCTTTGCCACTAGTAGCCAAGTCTACGTAGTCGGTCCCATAGTTTAGGTCCTGGCTGGTGAGCTCTACAAATACCACCATGGGCTTCTTTTTAAGGGCTTCTTATGCTTCTTTATTAGACAAGCAGTGAAGCAACAACCCGTCGTATGATCTCATGTACAAGGTTTGTGACAAGGAATCATAGTAGAATCTCGATGCTCGTCTGTGGACAGATTCTCTTTCTTTGATATCTTTAGGTAGTAAGCCGTATAAGACATAATCTATGATTGGGAATCACTAATCCCTAGGTTCGAACGTCTTGGACTCTTCATCGATCGCGTTGACTTGAAATGCATATTTCAGTCGGAAAAGTTGTCTGCTAGCTACAGTGATTCATTGAGTGGCTACTTCGAGTAGAGCTAGTGTAGCTGCGAGTGATGCCAGGACGTTAGCATATGTATTCTTGAGGCAA